CGGTTTCATACTTGGAAATGTCCCAAGAGAAGAGGGGACCAGCTTCATTCTGATTTAAAAGGACTCCTCTCCCTCAACCCGCATTCTTTGTGGGCAGGTGAAATTCACCGGTGAGAAAACTGGGATTTTTCACAAAACACAATATGATCACTCCATAATTTGATAGGAATATTTGAGGCACTTTTCCTATGAAAAATAAATACTTTAAATATCCCCTCCCCGAAACACACACACAAATTGTTTTTTATGAGAACCAATTAATAAATGCTAATTCATTCAGGCATATCTCTACTAAATTACTGTTTCATTTAATTGCAGGGGAATTTTCCATTACTAAACTCTCCCTTGCTGATTTTTTTTTGCATTATTTATATATTTTTTCATTTTCACTAATAGTGAGATTGGTATGTGATATTATCTGCTGTTTGTACGTCTTAAATTTCTTTTTTCATTTAGAATGTTTCCTCATTCTTGCAGCTCCACGTAATCCGGGAGAAACATCATTAAAGGCAGACAAGATTTTATACATAAATGAGAAAGGCACTGGCTGAAATTAACCTGGCAGGAGCGCATCTTGTCTGATCGTGCTTCTCTCATTTCAGGCATGCATGAGTGTGTGCAAGTATGTGTCTCCACTCTGGGTTTGTGTACAAACGTTTTCCTGTCAGTGAGTTGCAAGTCCATCTGTGGAAAGATTGTGGGTGTACAGCTAGGAATGAAGATCCCAGGGGCTTTAATAATAAAAATAAACAGCACTCAAATCTCTTTACAAGTCCCCAGAACACAATGCGTATTTTCTTGCTTCCTTTTTAGGGACACCACCAAATCAAGACCTTGATATCTAGACACCCAAGAGCCAAACCAGCTGGCTCCTGAAAATCCTGCCTCTTTTCATGCATAGAAAAGTGGGGAAGTTGCCTGTGGTGTTTAGGGGTTGCTTAGGGCTGTGGTAGAGATCTGTGTTCAAAAGGATGTGTTTTTGACGTAGAATTCCCATTTTAATATATTGAATGACAAAGGTCCTGTGCACCTGGCTACCTTTGCTTCTGCGATAAGTTCTTTCATTTTGATTCTCTCCAGCCACCTTCTCCCTCTCTCTCTCCCTCTCCTCCCCCTCCTCCATTGCCTCCGTTCAGGGTCTTTCTTTTGCTCTTTATTCTGTCCCTTCTTTCTCTTTCACAGTAACATATTCTGGAGGGTGTGAATGATTAAACTGTTTACTCCGAGGTTTAAGTATGAAAAGGCATGTCACCGAAGTAAAGTTTCACCTTCATACCCAACTCTATCAATAATTACAGAACAGGGAAGATGATTATTAAGTCTTTCTTACAATTAGCTCTTATGAAAATGATGCCATTTATTCTGAGCATATGGAGTTCTATCGATTTTACTTTTCACAAAAATTAATTACAAATCGTAGTAACCTCCAAAATGAAGTCAGCATATGAAGGGGTTGTGAGTAGATCCATCGAAAAATATATACCCAATAAACAGGTACCCCCTTAAATTAGAGATTTGAAGCCATAAATAGAAACTTTTGACATATTATCATATTAGCAGATGATCTCCTTTCAATAAAAATATCGCAATAATTAAAACTTCATGAGACTGATTTTTTTTTTCTCCATTTCCTTTGTCCTCTTCAGCAAAATTAGGCAGAGTCTTTTTGGGTAGAGACTGATGAAATTAATTAACTTTCCTTCCACCCCAAAAAAGTCCCAAATAAATGCTTCCAGTGGACATCAAAAAAGTGTCAATTAGAAATAATTACTTCTTATCAATCAGTGGGGCAATTAAAGTGACAAAGCTTGAAAAGATACTTATCTTAAAACTAATTCACAAGGTAGCTAAATTATCTCCTAATTAACTTGCATTGAGGAGGGTGGGAGGATGGACCCTCTTGAAACAAAGATGAATTGAGGAGCCCCGATACCTCTTTATGTTCCTTGAGACTGTTTCCCATCCCGAGACATTGTTTTCAACCCAGGCAAGAAAACTGGGAAGAAAATAGATCTCTCTCAAATGCATTTGGTCCCCTTTCCTCCTTTCATAGACCAAGAGGAGGGAACAGGGCTTTGCATCTCAGATTTAGGAAGTTAGAGGCATGTTCCTTCTCGATCTTAAGTCTCATTTGACCCCTTGAATAATCTATTTTCAGTAGCTGGGGAAGAGGGTTGCGGGCAAGTTCTGGCACATAACTTTTAATGACAACCTGCTTGCTTTTACTAAACTCTCTCCCTTGCTGATACGGAATTATTTTCATTTTAATATTTATGTGGCATTTATCTTTAAACATTAAAAAAAGTGGTCTTGTGCTTTAAAGGATCTTTGTTCCCCGATGCTACAAAATTCCCAGCAGATTTTACAGAATGTTCAGCCCATTGCTGACCAGCACAATCAAAATAATTCCCTGTGTGCTCTCCGCAGCCCTTCAGAATAAAGCTTGTAGGGAAAAATGTATGTATAAGACCTTTCTTCAAAGCAAGATCAAACGACAGTGAGAGTGAACCAGACCAGGGAGAGCTGCTTCGGCTGGTCGGGTGGGCAGGGCCGCGCAGGAAACTTTTCTCGGGCTTCTTGGGTTTTTGGAAACGGTGGGTGCGCTCGGCGGCCTCGGTCCCGCGAAAAGCCCCGTGACCGCCTAGCCTGCGCACCCCGGGATTCTGCTCCAGAGGAAACTTAAATGGAAGCTCTCCTGGCAAAAGACAACTCAAGAATGGAAGTGCCTGGGGAAAAGAGGGAAGGTGCTAAAACCTGATAGAAATGGGCTTATAAAAACGGGAGTGAGTTTATGAGTTTATCTTTAAATATAGGCTACGGTGTTAAGAAAACTGATTAGATAGAGGGAGGTCTCTGGCTCAAGTTTTCGTCAAGAGAATTTAGAAAAGAAATGGGATAGCCTTGAAATGTTTGAGCTGTGTTTTACAGTTTTCTTCTGTTTTATTAGCATTAAATTAAACGAAAGGAGAAAGGCTTATTTTCCCTCCTTGCAGTTTTATTTCTTTATTTGTTGTAGGGGAAGGTTTAGAAGTAGACCCTCTGCCTTCCTTAAACGGAAAAATACCTCTGTCCTGGCCCTGCAGGGAGTGGACGGCTCTCTCCCCAAACCCAAGGACAATTTGCATCTGAGCCAGTAGGGAATGACCTCTCATCTTCTGGGCCAGTTACTGATTAAAATTAAAGTAAAAATAAATGGTGTCTTTCCCCCCACTTTCTTCTTTTATCCCCATTTATTCTGAGTGCTTCTAGAATGAAAATAAGTAGCGAAAACAAAATCAAGCCAACCCAAGAGATCGTGACCTCGTCTTATTTCTAGCAGAACAGAGGGAAAGGGGTCTGGTGCAGCACGGTAAATTCGAGGTCCCAGGACACCCAATCCTACCATCGCCTGAAAGGTCAGGGGAAGGTCGGGCTGCGGGCTGGGGGAGATGGAATCGGGAACCCAGAGGAATTGGCCGGAACCAGGGGCACTAAGCTCGTCCTCGGAGACCGTTCCGATCCCGAGGCAGGGACGACGTCCGGTATTGTACCCCCGTTTGGCTAATGACTGAGGGGCGAAAACCTGGTCCCGGCCTCAGAAAGTGGTCAAGGAGCGTGCACAGCGCCGGAGTGCGGCCGGGTAAGGGGAGCCAGGGAGGTTCGCTCGATTCCCTGGCTCGCCGACCCCGCGGCTCCCGGGAAGGGCAGCTAGGTCTCTACTCCGCGCGCCGAAAGCGGCCCCGCGCCCGCAGGGGCGGCCGGGACGGCTCGGGCCACGCTCTTCTAGGGGCACGGAGGTGGCGAGGCAGAGTACTGCTGACTCCATCTCCCACCTTAGAGCAAGCCAGAATGAGCAACCTTCCGGAGCCTCGCGGGGTTCCCCGCACCCCTCGTTGTGGAGCCTCGGCCCCCGGACCCGAGGCCGCGCGGCGAAGCTCAGACTCGTGGCGCTCTCGGCTAAATAGAGATCTCAGCCGCGCGCCGTGCCCGATCCGACCCTGCTTATTATAACAAATGTCCCGTTTGCCGAGCGGGACTTCATATTCGCCGAGAATTCATCTGAAATATTGATTTCCTCTCACTTCGCCGGCCCAAATCGATAGCGTTGCTCCCTGGCCCCATAAATCGCTTTCTCCGCGGCCCGCCCGGCTCCATCCATCACATGGGGCCGGGCCGCGTCTCTGCCGGCTGTCCACACTTGCTGCGCGCCGGGGCGGCCGTGCCCACCGCGCCCACCGTGCCCACCGCGCCCACCGCGCCCGCCGGCCCAGACCCTGGGGCTGTCTCTGTAACACCTCCCCACACCCCTCCCCGCCCCCAACAAACCCGGCCTGGGCCAGGAGGCGGGGAAGAGCAGGCGCCACGGCCAGGGAGGGACCCCGAGCGCTTTGGGAGGCTCTGGGCCGGGTCACCGCTGGGGAGGGGGTTTCGGCTCCGCGGGCAGCCGGGTGCTAGCAGGCCGAACGCCCCGCGCGCCTCTCTCCGCCTAGCCCAGGCTCGGCAAGGAGGAGTCCGAGAGCAGCTGAGGGCACTCAGAGGTCTCCCAGGCCCCGGACCACGGGTTTCTTTCCCGCCCGCTTGAGGGGTGCGCGGGGCTCACCTCCCACCAGGGCAGCCAGGAGCAAGAGCTGCGCGCACCCGCGCTCGAGGGCTTAGAGGTCGGGGGCGGCCCAGGGCCTGAGAGACGCAGGATGTCCTCCCCCATGGGGCATGCAAGACGGGGGTGCGGCGCGAGGAACACCCCTCTGACCCGCACGGAGAGCTCCTCACCGCTCCGTGTGGACCGCAGAAACCAAGGCCTGGGGAGGGCGGCTCGCCGGGCCGAGAGGGGGACCTCGGGGCCTGAGAACGGCGAGACGGCCGCAGCGGAGAGCTAGGCCAGCGGCGCCCCCGGCTGCGTCCCGGCGCAGGTGGGTCCCACGAGCCCGGAGCGTAAGCTCCCCAGCCCCACCGACCCGAGCGCACGCACGGACGCACGGCGACGCGGGGGCTTTGGGGTCCCGGCAGCGCCGCGTCCTTACCGGATCTGATGGAGTTGTGAGGCATCGCCGGGGAGTCGCTCGCAGCCCGCCGAGGGCTCAGGGCTTCCTCACGCAGGTCCCCGCCGCGCCCGCCGCCACGCCACTGCCCTGCACAGACCCAGGGGAAGGGGCATGAGATTCGATGTCCCTGTCTTATGCCTTCTCCCTGGGCCCTATCCCACAGGCTCTCATCACGTGGCTGGAGTCAGAGGATTTTTAGGCGAAGGGTGGCCCACCTCGGCCTGGCTAACACACGTTTGCCGGGAGGATCCGGGATTGGGGGTCCTCTGAGGGAGCCCCAAACTCCAGCCCGGGGCCCTCTTCCTCTGTTGCCCCAGCCTTATCCAGTTTAACTTAGGAGGGGGAAACCCTGCCAGGCTACCTGGGCCCCTCTCCCTTCTCGAATCACCGCTGTCCCCCAGTCACCTTTCAGCCAACCCCTGGGCAGCATACCTGGCCAGCCGGCCGCCGCAGGCCCTCACTGCCCGGGTCAGCCCGTGAGGGTGCCCTGGGCCCTGCGTCTCTCCTCGTTCTGAAGTTTGTTCCCATCCACCCGGCATTGCCTACCGGTTTTATCCCGCCAGGGCTCTGAGAGATGGGTCTGGAGAGACTCGCAGGCCGCGGATTGGCTGGCTGGGTGCAGGGGGGTGCGGGAAGGGGAGGATTTTGCAAGGGGGACATGGCTGAGTGGACTCAGGAGTTAGAAACATTCGCTGGAGCTTCTGTTTCCAGCGGAGAGAGGAGAGGGAGGCAGCTGAGCCCTACCTCATCAGGCCTGGATATATTGGAGGAGTGGGAGATGGAGGCCTCAGAGCCTGAGGATGAGGGTTTCTGGGTCCTCCTGGGGTCACTGACTACCAGAAGTGAGAGACACAGTTTCTCTGTGACACCTTGCATCCCTTCTCTCACCCCCCCCCAAACCCCTGGGGAAGCAGTCTTTTCTTCTATAGGAAGGAACTTTTGTTTTTAAGCCTGTTTCTTAAGGTAGAAGCCTGCACATAGGGCTGGAGACAGGAAGGCAGGAAGGTCTGACCTTCTCACCACTGGTGTGGACTTCTTCCAAGGCAGAACCCTGAATAGCCCCAGAACCCATTGTGTCCATCTCACCCAGACAAGAGCCACAAACTCACATTATTAGATTAATGAAAATGGTCCCATAACCTCATCAACAGGGCTTCTCCTCCTCCCAAACACACACAGTCACCAGCCAGCCCTCATTCGTGCCCTTTGTGGGTTTTGAACTTGGAAGAACAGCTCAGAGGGTGGGCAGTAAGGGTCTAGATCTCACTTTAGCACAGAAGGGTGTCAGATGGGAACAGGACTGAGCTGACCTCTGGCCTAGTCGAGGGGAATCAGCAGCCTTGGGAGCTGGGGGTCCTAGGTGGGGAGAAGATGGGGTGTCTTGGGTAGGAATGAGCTGCCTTCTCTTTGATCATAGGTTTTTCTCTTCTGTCCAGGAGGCTGGGTCCAGGGAAGATTGTGCGTGTGAACAAATATGTTGGAGCACCTTGCAGGCTGGAGGCAAGGGGTGGGTGGGTGGGGGCTGGGGCAGGGCCTGGATGCTCCCCAGTCTCAGACCAGATGGCCAAGCTCAGGAGCACAACTCCTTGGCCTGAAGCGACTGCTACCAGATACAGAAGCCAGAGATAGCAGAGTGAGAGGGGAGTGAAAGGGCAGAGGGAATGGCTTATTCAGGAGGATGTGCATGTGTGTACATGTGTGTGTGCCTGTGTGTGTAAAAACACACAGTTTTTCTTAATGAAAAAACAAAGTTTTGGGGCACTTGGGTGACTCAGTCATTAAGCATCTGCCTTTAGCTCACGTCATGGTCCCGGGATCCTAGGATCAAGCCCCATGTCAGGCTTCCTGCTCAGCGGGGAGCCTGCTTCTCCCTCTCCCACTCTGCCTGCTTGTATTCCCTCTCCTTCTGTCAAATAAATAAATAAAATATTTTTTAAAAAGAAGTTTTATCTTTCAGGTTAATCCACTTCTTCCTCTCTCCCAGGCTTTCTTGATTTCATAGAAATTAATCATTTTGTGAAAAGAAAGAGCAGAGAATATGCGTGTCCCCAAGTGGATCTTCCACATTTGTAACAATGGCCCTAAACAAAAAAAATTAGGGGCCTTGCTGTATGAAAAGTTTCCCCAAAATTGTTATTTAAAATTGCTCTGTGGTTTTCAAATGTCCAGATCCTGTACTTCTCCGGTAAGACTGGAGAGGGAAGATCAAAGGGTGCTGGGATGGAAGTGGACCTCAGTGCAGGTCCGATGGACACCGCCATGGGCGAGCTGATCACTCTGGTGCCCACCCTGCTTCTGTAGGGGAGCTTTGGGGCAGTAGACGTGAAGGCTGACTGTCCACTCAGGCTTGCTTCCACCAAGGAGGCAGTGCTCATGTGAGCCCGCCAAGCTCTGACCCAAACAGTTCGGCAAACCTCAGAAGTTCTTCCCAAGCCAAGGGACTGATAGGTACCAATCACCATGGAAACTCACGCATCCGTTCTTGCTTTTCTCCCACTCGACAAAATAAATCCACCCCCGCTCCCTTTTCTGGCAAACTCTTCTCAAAGGACAAAAACAGCCACTTGTCAAAATATTCCTGTCTCATTTGTGAGCTCATTTAAAAAATCATTTAAATATGAAAACGAAAGGTGCAAAAAGCCCATTCACATGTCATGAGAGCACCCCTTCCCTGGACTACAGGTGATAGCAGACGTCCAGGAGGAGACCTAGCAGAGTTCTAGAGCTAGCAGACAGTGAGACTATAGTAAGCCCTACTGAGGAGATAAACCCAGGCCTCGTGGTACTTTTTAATTACAATCAGAAATCAGGCATGGGTAACTTACTGCTTCCTATTTTCCCACCATCAAGGTCTGGAAAATGGAATTTTTAGAATTTTATTTTTAAAGATTTTTATTTATTTTTTCGACAGAGAGAGAGAGAGAGAAAGAGAGCACAAGCAGGGGGAGTGGCAGGCAGAGGGAGAGGGAGAAGCCATCTCCCTACTGAGCAAGGAGCCTGACTTGGGGCTGGATCCCAGCACCCAGGAATTATGATCTGGGCCAAAGGCAGATGCCCAACCCAAGAAAATAATTATTAATCAGGACTCCAACTCAGTCTCTTTGACATCACTCTCCTTCTCTGCAAAATGAGAGTTTGAAATACATATATTTCAATATTTAAGCTAAATACATTAAAATATATTTATATTATGTCTATTTAAATAAAAAATACATATTTGAAAAACTCATATCCACGAACATTTTAGTTACACATAAAAATCTTAAGCCTTCTTCTGATGTTACTTAATATTTCAAGATAATCTAGCATCACGAATGAGAGACTCCTGGATCAATGGGACATTTAGAACATACTTTTTAAAACCGATACCTCCTTCTCCAGCTTTTCTTAGATTTGGGGCCCATAAGGTTTTCATGCTGAGATGATCAACTGGAAACCTGTGGTTGAAACCCAGTTACAATTTTTTTGAACTCCGTGTTTTTCCAAGAAAATGTGATTAATTGCCGATATGAAATTAGAGAAGAAAGAGTAGCTCTGGCTTGCCTTTAAAAATTGGACAGATCTGGCCACAGATCTGAGTGTTTCTTTGTGGAAATGAATGTTCTTTCAGGTTTAACATTCAGAGTCTGAAATACATGTCAGGTATAGTTGCCTAAGTCCCAGGAGTATTCTGTGAATTTTTTTTTTTTTTTTTTATTCTAAGTTGACCCGCTGAGCCTTCAAAACATGATCTTTTTTTCCCCCAGGATTCAGCCGACATCGGCAGAGCCGGTGGTTGGGTTTGCCTAAGATGAGACAGAAAGCATGCCCTAGATGTGGGATTTTCGGTGCTAAAACCAAGCTGCCCTAGGCATACCAGGAGGAGTTGGCCCTCATAGCTGACAGCATTAGGAAGGACGGTGGTTTGGGGTTTCTATAAGCAGCTCAGAGTTTACACGGGCTACTGAGGTGGCTGTTTAAGTGCACAGGTGGAATCCTATCACCTTGTGGCTCAGGCTCCTTGGCCCCTTGGACTCCAGCATGGACCAGGGGCCTTACTTCTTAATGACAGGACAGGGAGGGAATCTGGGACCCTTCTCTCCCATTTTGACATGAAGCCTTGGAAGTTCCTCTGTGCAGACCACCCAGAGGCCAGCCTTGGGGGAAGATCCCTGCCCCCCAAACGCTCCTTGCTTACCTGCCAATGCCCCCTTTGCCTGCATGGGAAACAATTCTGGGACTGAAACCCATTCCCTGGGAAGAAACCAGCAGCCCTCTGCTAAGAGGTAGAAGGTGGGCATTTCCGCCCTGGCTATGGGAAACAGGACCATCTCCTTTCTCTGAGCCTCACTTGCTTATTCAGTGGGATGTGGGTGCAGGTGGGGAGTGCAGAGGGTGAGACCGGCCTCATACATTTGCTGCAGGGATGAAGAGAATTACGAATGTGGAAGCCCTTTGGAAACCACAGCTCTGCACAGAAGTTAATTATTGTTAGACAACAGAGGCCGGCCAATACTTTCAAGAAGGGTAGAATTATAACTCCTCTGAAATTTTGCTGGAGAAGCCCATTCCTTTAATCCCCTTCCCAAAGTTTGCAACATGAGTTTTTCTAACAGCCCTGTGAACCACGGGATAATGGACAGGTGAGCCGTGGGACAGGAAAGGGCCAGTGAGTCCGTGTGCTGTGTGTGTGGAGTGGGCTGCTGTGGAGGCGGAGGTGTCTGTGAGGGGAACAGTGCATGGTTTGACCCACCAAAAGGGGAGCAAAGCCAATGGCAGAAGGGGAGGGCCAGCACTAGGGCAGAGCCTTCAGACTCGCCGAATTCCCCTTCACAGAGGGCAGAAGTGTTGAGGGCACCTGCAGGTTGTGCTCTGCCTTTCCCTCTCCCAGGCTTGCCCCGTGAGGCTCCAGCCCTGTGGGATATCTACCCTGTCCCCCCACCTCAGGAAATGGCTGACAGCCTGCCCAGAGGCCTCCTGGTGGCCCTGCCAGAGAATCAATCATTAATGAGCCTCTGTTCCACCCCTCCCCCTCAGGCTGTCCAAACACAGAAACAGAAATACAGGTCCTGGCAGGTGAGAGGAAAGGCCCGTGTGTGCAAGGCAGTTTGGAAAAAGCCACCAACGGCGTGTTTGGTTGGTTTTGGGTTGGAGATATGTCCTGGGCATGTGTCTTTCAAGTTCTTTGCCTACTTGCAGCCTTTTGGTGACTGCACCCGGGGTATCTGGAGGACCTCTGTGTAGGAAAGAACATCACTGGGGAAGCAGAGTGGAAGGTGACAGAAGGAAAGGACAGGAATGAGATATACAGGGATAACACTTCTACTTTTTTCTAGTTTTAATAGTTTTTTTTTTTTTCAAAGCTACAAATAATTAGCAAGGTCCTTTTGCAACCCATTTTACAGATGAGAATACTGAGCCCCAGAGAAGGTAAGTAGAATATGCAAGGTTACCCAGCTGGTAGGTGGATGACTCAGTGACCAAATAAACACTAGTGATCGAGGTCCTGCCTTAAGTGTTGGAAATTCTGCTCACCCCAACCTACTTCCT